AGAGATAATAAAGAAAGATAACAAAGCTGTTTACTAATGAAAGCACTAAGGCTGGAACGATAAGCCACACCCAGCAGGCATATCGAAGGGTCAGGAGTGCATGAGGTTGTAATTTGCTGCAATAAGTTGACGAGTTAAACCACCAGAGGCCAGCAAAACAACGTTAATGTTAACTCTTCAAACCCAGAATACAATTCAGTTAGAGAGCTCAAAGAGTAATTATAGATATGTTAAACAAAACAAAAGGCACAAAGTAAAACAAACACAAAAAATCATCTTTCTCTGCATTAAAATATAAATACAATAAAATTTTAACTTAAGAGCAGATTAAAGTCGACATCACTCGAGCTTTTGATCATTAAAGTTTGGACTTTAAACCATCATCCCAGATATGGACAACAGTTTTAACACCTCCTCAGCTTTCTGCTTCAAGCATCTCAAATGAATGTTTAATGAATTTAAACATAACTGCATGCAGCAGAGTTGATACTTATTGATACAAAAATTATCATGATGACACAGGCAGTGATTTTGGTATTTAGGCGGTATCATCTTTTATATCTCAGGTATTAGTGATTATTTATTAGTCCTGATATAATAATTGTAAATAACTTTATCTAAGAAGAAATATTTTAAAATAATTACAGATTGTATAGTTTAAATTTGAGGAATCTGAGTTCATATTAATTCCTAAAGTCAAGTATTTAACATTGTGACTTTTCTATCATTAATCTTTGAATAAAGAGAGATAATAATAGTAGGATAATGAAGCTGGTTGCTAATCAAAGTTTCTGTTCAAGGTGTTAATGGAGCATGTGGTGGCAAATTTCTTTTCTTATATATTGGTCACTTTAGTAATGGTAATATCACTTTCTCACTTAATTATATGCATGTAGAATAGACACTACAAATGTGTCTTTGTGCCCTATCACAAACACAGTGGGGCAATTGTAAGTTCATGTGAGACGTAAAACAGGTAGTGAGACTCTGTGTTCTTATCTCAGGGAATAAGGAGGGAGGATTTGGGATGTAAATCTTTAGGCAATGTCTAAGTAGAAAACATGGTCATAATTTTCTCTCTTTCGCTCTCAAAGGGAAGGTTTTCAAAGGATGAGCTGAACTGAAGGTATAGACTCACATGATGTTTTGGAATTTCTTGTTCAGTTAGTTTGGTCAAGCCATAGAAGACATGAGTGAACCGCACCCATCTTCAGAGACTGCTTAGGTGTTTGACCAGAGTTTCTCCATATAACAATATGTACTCAAACCCACTTCAAATAATGCCTACCAGCTGTTTGCAGTTTATTTTAAAACTTCCACGAAATGCACAACTCAGAATTTGTGCTTTCAAAGGTTCATCAGTGGTTCTAAACTGCTCACATCAACATCTGACTTCAAGCAGAAAATGGTTCACAATAGACTGCAAAGGAAATTATGTTCAGAGTGAGCTCTCTGTGGATGGACAAAATGTACCGTACAACATGTTTGAAGGGAAAAACCCAACTTTAACCATCAATGATCTAAGAGAGAGTAATGCAAACACTTATTGCTGTATGAAGACTACAGACAGAAAAGCCTGCAGAAAGGAACAGCTTTCTGCTGAACGTGGTGGAGGCAATATTCATATGGGCATGAATGGCTGTTAGTGGATCCAGTTTAGAAACATTTATTGATGATATCACTGATGATAGAAGTAGCACGATTAATTTTGAAGTTTACGTGGCTATATTCTCAGCTTAGATTCAGCGAATGGTAATGTATTTTTATTTTTTTATTTCATTTTAGCAGGTCAACTGCCTTTTGTCTCCCTCTTCTGACAGTGAGAGCAATTACACACAATGAAAGGGTCTTAAATGCTGCTGGGTATTTGATTTGATTCAATTTTGACTCCATCAGAAATATTATATTTCTCATCATTTATCAGTACATATCTATGTTTTTATATCTATGTATAAAAACAAAGCTGACACTTGTGAGACTTCGTCAGATGTGTAAGCATCACAACAGATGCTTTTGTGTCAAAGTAACTGAGGATAAAACACAGAAAAACATCTTCTTATAGCAGATAACCTTGAAAATATTCTGCAGTAGATCAAAAATGAAAGAAAACCATCAATCAATCAACATATGAACATTGCCTGATGCTGCTGAAATGAAGCAGAGCAAAGTTACAGAGGTTTTATTAAAGACACAGCTAAGCCTTTTGCAATTTTGACGTCATTCTCAAAGTTTACATTTATTCAGTATTGAAAAGCACAAAGGCAGGTTTCTTGGTGTCATTTTTTAAAAAACAGAACAAAACAGCTCACCAGTCTGTACACAACGGTGGACTGGTGCGTAATGAGCAAGCAAATAATGCAGAAAACAGATTTTTGATGGGAAACTGGTCTTTGAGAGAGAGTGAGTTGTGCAGGAAGTGTGATCTCATCGTGGAGGAAGCAAAACAGCAAAAGTAAGAGGGAATTCATGATGATGTTTATCAAATATGAAGCGTAGTTTTGATCTTCTTTTGCTGCTGATTCAGGGAATTTTGGTCAGAGAGTGACCAAACCTGCAGATTCAGAATCTGTGAGATGTCAGCTTTCAGCACCGACGTGTACGTGCCGTCGGGTGAACAATCCGCGCTTTACATCTTTGTGTGGAATCTGTTTACCTTCTGTTATTTGCTGTTTTTGCTCTTTAGTGGTTGTTGAAATAGTTTTTGTGAGCTTTGAGCTGAGATTTTGGCAAAATATATTTATATTATAGCGAGCAGATGAATCTTAGCAACAAAGCACCACTCAGCTATTGAGCTTGCTGTTCCACAACAAACAGGTATGAGGAGCTCTATTAAACACTTGCTTGTGTTACACTGTGCTTCCGAGCGTCAATAACCACATAACCGAACTCACTCATGATAAATCATTCTTTCCATCAAACAATGACAGTGACTTTGTACCACAGAACAGTTAAGAGAACAGTTAAAAGTCATGTAACTGTAGACAATAAAACAAGAACATCTTAACAGCAGCACATGTCCCAAGGCATGATGGGAGATAACTAGTCGCTCCCCCAACAAGCCAGACAGCCCCCACCTGAGTGGTTAGCTCTCCCCAGCAACCGGCATGTCCATAGCAAAATCTCTGAGGTGTTGGGGAAGGCAATGACGTCATTAAGGACGTTCCGCTGGTCCCCCAGCTGTCTCTGAGGCCAGGTTGGGGGCCTGCCATTGAAGCTGGAATCCTGACCCCTCCACGGGTGGACTCAAGGGCTGTCACGATGGAGTACGACCACCCTGTTCCATTAGACCACATCGGACAGCCCCTCGAGAACAGTGCAGGGTCCAACCCACTGACTCATCAGTTTTGGGAAAAGCCCTTTCTTCCTCTCCGGGCTGTAGGCCCACACCTGCTGACCTGGCAACAGTCCTCCCCCTTTCAGCGGGTATCATAAGCTCGCTTCTGCCGGAAGTCTGCATCCCAGAGCGCCTGCCTGGTCAACTGGTGCACCTCCGGTAGCCGGGCCCAGAGGTCCCTGCCCCCTTCCTGCTCAGGGGAGGATCTGAACACCAAGTGTACTGGGGTACAAAGCTCATGCCCAAACATCAAGGTCGCTGGAGTGCATTTCGTAGATTCCTGGACCGCTCTAGGGGTGCCGTCCGGGTCTTCCTCATACCCATCCACTGACAGACCTCCTTAAACAACACTGCCTCGAAATTCCGGCCCTGGTCACTGTGCAGTTCCTCTGGTATTCCGAACCGGCAAAACATCTCGTTGACCCGACACTCAGCCGTGGTAACAGCGCTCTGGTCGGGGCAACCGGAACGTAGCGGTTCCTCTGGTCAGTGGTGGGGAAGGGTCCCAGGATGTCCTGACCCTGCCGCACCATGAACCAGCTCGAGGAAAGGGCATCTGCATTGGTGTGGAGACGTCCCGCCCGATGACGAACCTCAAAGTGGTAATCCTGCAGCGTCTCCAACCACCGGGCTAGCTGTCCCTCCGGTTCTTTAAAGTTGAGCAGCCAAGTGAGGGACGCATGGTCTGTGCGCAGAAGAAACTTCTTTCTGTAGAGGTATGGTCTGAAATGGCGGAGACCCAGAATGATGGCCAGCAGCTCTCGACGGGTGACAAAATAGTTCCTCTCCAGTCTGCTGAGGGAGCAGCTGTAGTAGGAGATGACACGCTCCCCCTCCGATGGTGACAAGTACAGACTATAAGCTTTGCACATGTAACCTCCTCACTCAGCTTCTCCAATAAGGTTCAGACCCTCTCCACTTAAAAACAGAATGAATGTAATGTACCCGAAACAGAACATGTTTCAAAGCATTGACATGGCACTTCATTTGCAACACACACATACACACAAACATACGCAAACACACACTTGTATGTACACTGCTGTGAATGCAGTCAGTTTCTAGCAGAGAGAACTGTGGTCCTTTTGCGTGCTAACTCAAAGATAATAATAGGGTTCAGTGGAAAATATTACTGAAAACATAACCTGCATTCACTAACCAAATGTCCATGATCTCAGCAGCACAGACTGCTGCTGAGATCATGAGCTGTGATAATGGCAGCCTACAGTGGGCAGGCCAGGAACTGTAAGACAGCAGAACAAGATAAACTGGTGCACAATAATGGTGATGTTTTCAAAATGTCCATCATTGGTATTAATAATATTATTATTATTATTATTATTATCATTGTCTTTATTATCTTAACAGGCTGTTAACATGCATTAACATTTGTATGAGTATTTTGACAGGAGAATCATTTGACTCTTGTACCATTTTGTTTTTTTACACTCCATCAGGTTTGAGCAGGAGACTTTTAGAAAAAAATTATAAATACATACATAAATGTAGAGAAATAATATAAACACTTTGTTGAAAACTGAAAGTTACCTGAACATCTAAAATATTCAGGGCAAGACAGCAAAACCACATTGATTGTCTTGCAGATAACGAAAGAACCACAGAGGAAGGACGTTCATGTTTAGTTTCAAAGGTGCTTTGTGTGCCAAACCATTGTACAAAAACAGTCATGTCAGTCCTTCTGTTTTTCAATCGATTTTAACCTGTGAGTTAATCTTGTCTACTTTTATATTTACTGTCAACTTTATGCTTGCACACAAGACTTCAACCAACATGTTGCTGACAGATTTTCAACATCTGTTCGTCTGTTTCATCTTCTACATTTCAGGTATGAGTAATTATTTATACATTGTTATGAAAAGAAAGCAAAAATTTTATTTACATTCTAAGAAAAGAAAAAAAACCTGACGTAAAAATGATAAGACAATGAATTCGATTCCTGATAAAAGTTTCTGCTAAAGGTGTTATAGGAGGAGAAACCAGGATCTGTGCTTTCAAAGGTTCATCAGTGGATCTGCACTGCTCACATCAACATCTGACTTCAAGCAGAAAATGGTTCACTATATACTGGGATGGTTATAAGTATGTTCAGAGTGAGCTCTCTGTGGATGGACAACGTGTAACATACAACATGTCTGAAGGGAAAAACCCAACTTTAGCCATCAATGATCTAAGAGACAGTGATGCAAACGCTTACTGCTGTATGGAGACTACAGACAGTGCAGGAAACTGTTGGCTCAACAGAATTAGTCTACAAGTTGTTGCAGGTACAGTGACTTTTACTCATTGATTCCTTTCCAAATGACATCATTGTAACGTTTTTATCCATCATCCTTTCAGAGCTGCAGGTAAAGGTGATTCCTGCCACAGAGGGACAGACAGTAACACTGATGTGCAGCAGCAGCTGTCCTCTGACTGAAAAGCCTGCAGCCTACATCTGGTACAAGAACAGAGAGTTTCTCTATGAGGACTGGTCTCCCTGGTACCAAGAGCTGCTCAGCAGTGAGGAAGCAGTCACATACTCCTGTGCTGTCAAAGGCTACGAGCATCTCAGAGCCCCTCAAGTCTCTGTGGGTGAGTCATGACTGTTATTGCTACAGACTCTCAAGCTAAACCCTGTGAAAATGACCTCAGTACAAATATTTAACATCATGTCTTTTTGTTCAGATTCCATCACACAGACATGCTTCAGTCTCTCTTATGCTTATGGAAACATGTGTTCTTATAAACAGACATTAGTGGATGAGCCGTGCTCTATCACCTACCCCAGAGGTGAAGTTTATATCATATTTGTTGCAACAATACATGTATATGTCTTAAATAAGATGTATGATTATATCAAAAATAGTGACAAGCAGTGTGTTTATCCTTTTTCAACAGAGGTTCATGTTCAAAGAGCTTCTTCCATCTCAGAGTTTGTCACACTGACCTGTAACACCAGCTGTAACCTGACTGATGATCAAACTGTCTACATGTGGTATCACAACAAAATAAACTATTATGAGAATCAACATCATTCAACTCATAACTCTTCAACAGGCACATTCTCCTGTGCAGTTAAAGGCCACGAACATCTTCAATCTACAGAAGTTTGCAAGTTTCAAATCTATGTTGCCAACTAATAATGAACTCAAGTGCTGGAATACAGACCAATCAAACAACTCTAAATCTTCCATCTATATTTCAGGTGTTCAGGATAAAAACTGCTGGAGAGTGAATTATGTCAGCAGGAGAATCTGTGCTCTGGAAGGATCTTCAGTCAACATCACAAGTGAATACTCACATCCTGATAACAGGAAGCCAGAGTTTAAATGTTGGAGTAAAAAATGGAGAAAAGATAAAGTGGAAGTTGAAGAGCTGATTGAGGCTGCAGGTCGTGTGGAGTATCAGGACAACATGAAGAACCAACACACCCTGACCATCAACAACCTGAAGAAGAATGACTCAGGAGGATACACATTCAGATTCAAGAGAGATCATGAAGGATGGACACAGTCTGATCTGCCTGGAGTCTTTTTGATTGTCACAGGTAAATCTAAACTCCTCAGTCAGCAGACTTTACTCATTAATGTCTGAACAGGAGCAGGAGGTGGAAGAAATATTCAGATGCTGTGAACATGTCAATGCTGCACTGCAAATGCTCATTACAAAGAAAAAGTCCTGCACTTAACCCTCTCAGGCTCAAATTAAACTTTTTGTTGCTAATGCACAACCAAGTCCTGCAGTGGTACTTCTGAGTAAAAAAAACTCATAAAATATCTATGTGGGCTAATCAGGTTGTTAGTTTTTAACTGTTGCAAATCTGCAACGCCTGCCTCGAGAGGGTTAAAACTGAAATCATTCAAGCTTTCAGAAAAAAATGCATTTCATATTGTATAAAATAGTTCTTATTATGAAGGAAAAAATATGTTTTACTTTTTTAGAAGAAGCACTCATGTGTCTTTTCCATTTCTCACTTTGGTGTTTGTTTTTTTTTATTTGAAAAATCTGGATACTGTTATTTTGTTTGAGCTATAAAGCAATTACTCATCATTTCAGCATTTAACGCTTTGACATCTAGGAGCATACACCACTTAACTGTCAACTTTAAATGAGGTCAGAAGAATTTTGAACAATAACATTTCTGGCTAATTTTTGTTGTTTGTTTGTTTGTTGTTATAAATCTACATTCACAAGAACCACATTTCCAAACCATAAATGTCGCATTTCCATTCCAAAATGTTTTCAGTTTGACAATTAAAAATCAATGAAAATGGTGCATAAATAATGATTTTTTTTTTTTTTTTACTTTCAGAGCTGAGAGTGAAGATGAGTCCTTCTGCAGTGGTGACAGAGGGTCAGAGAGTCACACTGACCTGCAGTACCAGCTGTCCTCTGACTGACAACACAAACTACATTTGGTACTTCAACAGTCGACCTCTGACCCCGAGAGAGAACCAGAACAAACATCTGATCCTAGACCCAGTCAGCAGGGAGGATGCAGGAAGCTACTCCTGTGCTGTGAAAACCAACAAAGAGATCAGCTCTGCTCCAAAGACTCTCACTGTCCAAAGTATCACAGGAACATGGACACCAGCAGCTGCAGGAGTTTCTGCAGCTCTGCTGGTTTTAATACTTCTCTCTGTCTTCTGGTGTGTTAGGTGAGTAACGCTTTGATCTCATTCAGGTCAATATGTTCTTCTGATATGGCTTTAATTATATATATATTTTCTATCTGTTCAGAAAAAAGAGGATTTCCAACCAGCCTTCAAGAACTGAAACATTAGGCAACAAACAGCAGGTACCAAACAGGAAACAAAAAATTATTCTGCAATAATAGCGGAAATAAAACAAGCCGCTCATATAAATCTATTCCTGCTTAACCCAAAAGCATGTATTTTTAGCCTTTGTATTGTTCTCCTTCATGTGAATTATAACCTCTATATATAAATGTATGTAGATATACATTAATAAAATGTGATGTTATTTGTCTATGCAGATTTTTCCTGATTTCATAAATAAAAACGTTCCAGGTGAATCGGATGAGCAGGATGGTCATCACTATGTCAGGCTGCGTTTCAGTTTGAAAAACAACACTGACATCTACTCAACCATCGAGTTATCGTCTGCTAAGTAAATACACCTTCTTTTTTTTTGCTTTATTCATCATATTCAAACTGTGATTTGAAATCACTTGTTGATTTGAAAATTATTTCCTTTCGTTAAATTAGAATGACGACGACTTCCAGTGACTTTGCAAGAAGTGAAACATCAAACAATGAAGAGCAGGTACATGACAGGATTCAAGTGTAAAACATCAACTCCTCTATTTTTCTTCATATCTTCAATCATTTGTTATCTATCAAGAACAGTGCTTAAACTTGTGTCCTCGTCTTTTTTTCCATCCATAATTCCTCCATTCATACATCTATTTTCTCCCATTTGTGTTGGGTTGGGTCACAGAGAGGGCAGACATGTAAACAAACTATCCCCTGCTAGCTCTTGCAGCAGTGGGTCATTTTGGCATTCCCAGGTTAGCCATCACACATCTCTCCAGCAGGTCCTGGGTGTTCCCCAGTGCATCCTCACTGTGGGAAGAAGCCACGTAGGAGGTATCCTAGTCAGACTATTGCTGACTAATTAGTACTAATTAGTACTTTTTGATTTGGGCGAGTAGTGGCTCCACAACCTCGACTTGAAAGATACTTTGCACCACTTGTAGCTCATCTTTTTCATACTATGTTAGTGGGATTGCTGTCAGGATTCGGCCAGAGGTGGGAGTTTGTTCCCAGTGTAACCTCATTTTATGTTTGGTATAGTCCTGTCAAGCATCCCCACCACCTGATTCGAGTCAGCACCATGTGGTGATCAATTGACAACTCCCCTCCTTTGTTCACCTGAGACCAGCTGTTTTTGACACATTTGAAATTATAATGGAGAAGAGGTCATCAATCATTCCATGACAGGCAGTAGTGAACTTTTCTAACAGACTAATTGAGTTTTATTGTCACAAGAACAGATATATCTCATACTTCATGCAATACCTCTATAGTGGAACACATCTGTTTAACAAAAATCATCTGCTCTCTCTTCTCAAACATTATTGCAGGCCTGCACTGTACACACAAACTCACAAACTGCACAAACTCAAATACAAATCTACATGTTAGCTTCTATTCTGTTGTACAGTGGCACATTAATGTAATCTGATATTTATGTTTTCCTAAATTTAGCAAGCCATTTCAAAATTGAGATCTCTAATCTAGTTTAGAGGTCCCAACCGAGAAGCCTTAACACCCACTCACATCATTTGATCACAAGGTCTCACAATGGTTTCACCCGAAGCCTTGCTGGAGAATGACCCACACCCGTTTTTACAACTTGTCTCACAACTGTGGGTTCACACTAGAGATGGACCGATCCGATATTACGTATCGGTATCGGTCCGATACTGACCTAAATGACTGGATCGGATATCGGAGAAAAATAAAAAATGAAATCCGATCCATTAAATATCACGAAAGCACCTCACAAAACTTGCAACACGCCGTAACTCACCGCAGAACGTTAGCAGTTGGAGCAGTGTGCATCACGTGATAGAGCAGCTGTGGCATGCGGGACCTGTCGGTGGTCTGGATAGCATGTGGAGCTTCGCTAGCAACCTGGCATTTCATCTCCGCTAGCATTTCATCTCCGACAAAGTTATCCCCGAGAGAAGTAAAGCAAGCGTGTAAGTCCATCTCTGAATGTTTGTAAAGCATTCCCACGCTAAGCTTAACGAGCGACTGCCTCTCGCTCTCCGGCTGGTACTTCAATCATGAAACTGCTTAAATGATCAGCTGATCAGCTTTTCTGTCGCGAGTCCGTCTTTGTTTTTGGCCCACTTCGCACCAGAAAGAGGAAACCAGCGGCTGAACAACAGCAGCACGTTTAAGCTTGATAAGCTGTTGTTAGAATTTATTTAATATTACTTTCTACACCAGGATCTTTTTCTACGTAGCTGACGGCTGGTAACTGTGCAGGGGCGGATCTAGCAAAGTTTAGCCAGGGGGGCCGATTGTGCCCCCTTTTCACTGTTCATGCCCTAAGACATACTTTTCTTTCTTATTCTCATTTAAAATGTCTAGCTTTTAATAAATAATTAGCTGACACCCAAAGTTTTAATTTGATGCAAAATGAATAGAAGTCAATTACTGTATATAGTGACTATTAAGTCTAATATATATATACCCTAGTAAGCTATAGTACTTTTTACTTTGGGAAGGTACCATCTGTGCAGTCTGCAATTTTGTTGAAGAAAGATGTTGAATCTATTTAAAATTTCTTGAAAAATAATTGATTTCTGTGCATTTTTTTTCACACTGCATCAAATTAAGGTTGATTACGTCGATTAAGCATCATGAGGTGGCGCGTGAGGGGTGGTTCCCTATTTTTTATTTATTTATTTTTGTTGTTGCTGGGAGTTGGAACCCTATTAATTAGGTTGCTTAATATTTACGCTAAGTACTCTTTAAAATACCAGAATAGGGATGATGGTGTAGGTTTAAGTTTATTAGATTGATCAGTATTGCTGAACTATGAAATTTTTTTTTTGCATACAGGTATAACAGAATAGCTTTAGTGTAGTTGTTGTTTTAAACTTGAGTATGAACTTATACAAAATGCAGCAAGATATTTAAAAAAAACAGTTTTGTTGATTAAAAAACACTATATCGGATTCATATCGGTATCGGCAGATATCCAAATTTATGATATCGGTATCGGTATCGGACATAAAAAAGTGGTATCGTGCCATCTCTAGTTCACACTTTTCTTTCCAAGAAAAGACTTTAAAATGGATCCTAGATTCAATTGGAAGCTAATGTAGAGAGGCCAAAACGGGATTGATGTGGTCGAATTTCCTTCTGCTTTAAAAATCGTGCCGCAGCATTGTGCATTAGTTGCAAGCGTGACAAAGTGCCACGCCCAACCTCTACTAAAAGAGAATTGCAGTAATCCAAACGTAAAGTAATAAAGGCGTGAATAACACTTTCCAAGTTACACTTGGAAAGAAAGGGCTTAACCCAGTATGTTGTGTGTCTTCCTCCTCAGGTGAACCCTGATCCCATATATGACAACCTCCCAGCACATTATAGCGGACTGCAACTACCTACGAGCCACACAAGTGATGTCTACTCCAGTATGGACCCACTGCCTGCTCACTAAAGTAACTTTGTTACCATAGGGATTTAAAGGGCCTTTTTCTCCGATAGGTTTAGCGACTGAGCTAATTTGAGTATCACAGCAGGGACACCACATTTGGTGGATCTGCCAGTGGTTTTCATACATAAATTACAGAAGAAATAAATGTTGAACTTTTCAGTTAGAAAATGTATTTTATTAAAACACATGTCACAACTGAAAGATGACAAAAAACAGCAACTTGTGTTTGAGTGCAGCTGAGTGACTGTTTTTTAATGCACCATGAAATATCAAAAACCATATTATCAACTTTTGTTAATAATATGTTTTTTTTTAATATATTTTTGCAACTCTCATAACTTTCCAAAGAAACTGTATGGACATTTATTGCAATAAATGTGGCTACTGTTTAAATTCAGCCCTGTGGTTTCATATGTATTCTGGCTGATAGACGATGACCTCTTAATACTGACAGAGGGTCACTCTTCACTAAAAATCAGTTCTTTTGAAAAGTAGTCATGTTATGATTAGCAAATAATGTAATCCCTTGACAAAATGTACGAGACAAGAAAGCAAAAGTGTCCAGTGAACAAACATAGAACAACACAGGGGGAGGCAACAGATGGAAACACAGGTGGGGGGAGATGACTACAGCTACTCATAATGAAACCCACATGCTCTACATTACAGAGGACTCATTCCTAGAACAGAGATAAACAGAAAGCAGACGCTCTAAATAGCAACTTAAACTTTAAAATATGAACTAAGAATTTAAGACTGCAACAAAGAGTCAAACAACAGGAACCATTAGAAATTGTGGAAGCAGATTTCTTTTCTGTTGTATTACAAACATATTTAATCATATCACTTAAGTATAGCCAGATCACTCCTGACACCAATTGTATGCATCCATGTGGAATCTTATCACAACTGGGCCCCAAGTTTTATTGCACCTTCACAGAAGGTCCATTATATACTTGAAGATCTCCGACATCCTGCTCTTAGGGAGGTGACAGCCAAGCAGAAAACAAGGTCATAATTGTCTCTGTGAGGCAGGAGGTTAAAGGATGGGGCTGATGGCATAGAGATATATGATATGCTATGGAATGTTCTTTGTTTAACAGCGTCTGTGATGGGTTATATAACATGTAAGGGCAGCGGCCACAATTCAGAGATCACCCTAGTGTTTGACAGGAGTGGTTCTCTCCATATTGCAATATGTTATTAAACTCACTTTAAATCATGCTCACTGTGGTGTTTGCAGGTTATTGTTAAAATTTCCATAATAAAATCATGAAGTGATTTTGCTGTTGTTAAATCTGTGTGTAGTTTCTCAGCAGATACACTCACAGTAAACACTTTGTCTATTCTGTTTTCAACCTTTCCTGTAAAATTGCTATTTATTTTTGACATTCACTCATGTTTTTGAAATTTTATGAAGTGACAGAAACAGCAGCTGTAAAAAGGTGATTTACATATCACTTTGAACAAGAACTGTTATGTGGTTTGTCTCTGAACTTGAGCTCACTACAGATAAACATCATGGAAAGTACATCATGGCAGCACGGAGTAACTTCTACACAGAAAAAACGAGCAGTGTTAGTGCAACACCACAAGAGTCAATTTCAACACAGAGCCAGTGTCTCTTGAATAAAATGACAACAATTAATGCAACATGAAAAATAATAACTTTTTAAAAATTTCTTACCATATTCACATTGTTTTATGGTTATGTCAACTAATATGAATTATTATCAGTTATAAACCCTTTTTAAAACTTTTTTACTGTCTACTCTTGTAGCATGAATAACAGCTGTATGGAGACTTTTGGTAGTTCCGAGAGGGGAATAACAGTAGTGTTTGCTGCGAGATCGATCCACTTTAGACCAGACAACAAACGACGGAGACTCCGGAAAAGTGCAATCAAACGATGAGTTTTATTATCACAGGAGAACAACCAACCGTCAGCATACGGA